TTTGGGCGCAGTTTTTGGGGAAAACAGCTTTTTAAAATTTTTTTTGAAAAAAATTCGGGAAAGTGGCACGAAGTTGGAGAAATTGTAGGGAGAGGTAGACTGGATGGGGAGAAGTGGGGTTGCACCAAAGAAGGGAATTTGGCGAAAATTGTTCCCAGAGAGATAGTACCATGCCTACGATGCTACGATAGTTTATCAAGTTCTCTTTTGTTTCCAGTCCGTAATGGTATGGTCGCTGCAGTCGAAAAGTGTAAAAGCAACTTTACGTGAACATGAGCATGTCGTTGAGTGTATTGAATGGGCTCCGGACACCGCATTGGCGCCCATCAGGACAGAAGGTTAGCCTCTTTATGAATCATTTGAGTATTCCACTCATATGTTCTTCTCATGCACAGCTCATCATAGAAACGTGAAGGCTATTTTTATCATGCTCTTTGGCTGAAGACTTCATTGATAATTTTATGATTTTCATTGTCGAGAATATCGATTTCGAAAATTCTGTTGGAGTTGGACCATTTAGTTGTTCATACGACTTTTAAGATAAGAATTAGTTGTCTAAAAAGATTGTTGCCCTAGTCCCTATACTGAGTTCCGGTCCTTTTAGGCTTCATGGTCCCTATGTTCCTCGCCTTTTACGTCAGAAGTATCACCGTGCCATGTCCCGGTCCTAATCGTCCTGTTGCTGCTCACTTCCCCCCCCCCCACCCATTGAAGGGTGCTCCCCAAGGTCCCGCTGCTACCTTCAGGCACCTTACGACTTTGAGGTCCCTATGTTGAGTTGAACTTCTGTCTACCGCTGAACTCCCTTCTCTTCCTTCTTTCTTCTCTTTTCCCCTTTTGCTTTCATTCTCATTGGTGGGGTAAGAATCCGCTGCTATTGATTGCCGTGGCGACTCTCTCAGTACTTCCTGGGATGGAACGCGTGGCGAATGGGATCCTCATCGGTCGAGATGTATAGCAGATGACCTCAAGCACATGTATCCAGTAGTAGCTGGGGTTTTACATGACTTTTTGTCAGATCCCTGCTTCTGGTTGTTTTCAGGGGTGTCGATAAGACAATTTGCGCTGAAGGTTTATCCAGCGAAAGCACCACACAAAAATCAAACTGAGCAACCCTACCGCTCACCTCTTTTAAATACGATCCTCAAGCAAGGTGTGCAGCATCAAGTTTTATGAGAGTCTGTTTCTTTAATACAATCTGTTTCTTTGATACAACACTTTTACCTTTAAATTCCTCGGTTTCTTTTTACTCGTGCCTTATCAAGTATAGAAGCCATTATATGGCGTCTCGAAAACACCGTAGACGAAAAACAGCATTCTTCCCATGCAGAAGACCATGTGATATGTCTGTTCTTCTGGCTGTAATTGTCGTAAACCTCACTTTTTACTTTATAGCTGGTCATAAAGCAAATGGTGATCTGGGCGCTGGTCCAACACACGTAGTCGTTAGTGGTTCGAGAGATAA